GGTCTTTTAGAGGCTCCAGGAGTATGACTTAAATGTTCAGAGCCAGAATTTAAGAATTAAATGGCCACAAGCCACCTCTGACCCCAGGGACAGGAACAACTTCCCCTTGGCAAAAATCATGCTGCCCAGGACTCCTCCCACTCAAGGACTCTCTACTTCCTAGCCCAAGGTTCACAGCATAGAGACTCCTCCTTACTCCAAGTGGACATAAATGTGGATGTTCTCACATATATGGCCACTTGATGGCACATGGGCATGCTCTGGGAGGTTTGAAAACCACTCATAACTGGGCACACTCTAGAGATTCTCATGGGGCCAGGCTGGGACCTGGACAGGATTTTTACATCCTCTGCTGCATGAGATGCCTCCTTGTCCTGTGACACTCTGTTGCATCTCAGGCCATTCTATGCAAACTGTGTCTACAACATTGTGCCTCATGACTCAGACCCCTCAAGAAGGAAGGAAAGGAGTGAGAGGCACCAGATCTTTGCCACAGTTCTGTGAGCCAGGCAGTTCACAGAGGGCCAGAACCCCCTCACTCTCCATCTCAATGACCTGTTTGCTCCCCCAGACCCTCCCCTATCCTTTTCTGTTCTGGCACTGCCAGCCCAGAGGCATTTGCTTTTCCTCATGTTTCTGGTTTCCTTTTCTTACTCCAAAGATACACCAGCATGGGGGACTTCCTGCATGCTTAGTCTCCTTGGGGCTCCTGTAGCAGCTGCTGCCACCACTTTCACAGTGCCCTACTTTCCAGCCCCACCCTTGGGGCAAGCCCTCCAGTCTTACCTGCTCACAAGCACACCTGCTACATCTCCTGGAGGCCCCCAGTGTCCTGCTGCAGTGTGGCTGGAGGGGCTGCTGACTCCTCATTGTTTTCCTTTTCCTTTCTAGTGCCACCCCGCATAGCAGCCTTCTGGGGCCAATGTAAAACTTTGCTTCTCTGCTTGGCCTCTTGAACCGGATGTTTCTGGTTAGTGGTTTCATTTTTTTTTTTTTTTTTTTGGTTTCCATTGGGGTGCAGGGTTAGTCCCCAACTATACTGAGAAAGAGAGCTCATTTTTGAAGTTTCTCGGTTCCTCATGCCTGTAGGTGTCCAAGGCTTCTCACTATGCCCCATGTAGGGACTAGAATGAGGACTGAGAGCTTAACAGCCTCCTGAAATGACTCTTATTGGAGGCAAATTAGGGCCCAGGAAACAGACCCCACAGCTGTTTACAACCCTGGATGCACATTAGTGCACTCCTTAGAAGTATTAGAAGAATACCTGTATTCAGGCCCACTGCTGACTTACTTGGTCTAAGGCAATGTCTGTGCATTAGATCAGGTGATGCTAATGTACCTGACACTGCCTATTTGGCAATAATTCTTGTCTCCATCTGAATCTACTGAACCCAAATCCTGGGGGCTGAGGCTCAGGAGGTCTACATCTCAGGAAGCCCCTCAGATAGTTCTTATATACACATGAGTTTGCAGCCAGTGTATCAGTGTGCGATGGAAAAGGAAAGGGCTTATTGGAGGCAGTATCTTATTTCTAAATCTACAGGAGTGTTTCTTAAAGTGTGGCTCCAAACCCACAGCATCACAACATCTGGGGACCTGCTACAAAGGCTCATTCTCACTTTTACCACTCCATCAGATTCTGGGAGCTAGCCTAGTCACGTGTGCTAAAAAACCAATTCCAGTATATACTGGAGTTGATAGCCACTGATATGCCATCTACCTGCGTCACTTGGAACTATCATATGACTTGGGGACTCAAGGTATAAGGGATCTGTAAGGAAAGGATGATTGTAAAAGACTGTACAAGGGTTTGAAGTTACTGCCCATAAAATTATGACAAACTTAGGGTTAGTTGGTGAACACCATTCCGAAGGCTTCTTCCCTGAACATGAATCAGGTGTGTTGGGTAGAAGATCCAAGCGGTAAGTTTTGGAGGCAAGATTTGGTCAGTCAGTCTGCTGGAAATTCTTGTGTCTACTCATAAGTATGTATTTGTGTGTGAAACAGATTTCGAATTTCAGTCAAGACAAGTAAATGGATGCTGAGGAAGGTGAGAGAGTGGAGATGGGTTTCAGTCAATTCATTCACCCACTGCTTCTCAGAGCTACTATGTGACATCAATGGGATTATCTGAGGAAGAAAGACAAATAGTGAAAACAACAGTGTCTGCCCTGTCTACTTACTTTTTTCCCTAAGACAGTGGGCTAATCATGTGTCTTAGACTTGGGCAAATCAACTTCACTGTGTAAGGCCTTTCTCTTGAAGGAAAGGAAGTGTACATATCCTTCTATTTTTTTGGGGGGGGTTGGTCTTTTTGTTGATTGTTTTTTGACAGGGTCTTCCTAGTCACAGTCCACCTGAAAGTCACGATGTGAATGAGGGTGACCTTGATCTCGTAGAGATCCACCTGCCTCTGCCTCCCAAGGACTGGGATTAAAGGTGCACGCCACCACGCCTGACATGTATTATTCTATTTTTATACCTTGCTCTATTTCCCTTCCTACATGTGCTTACAAAATGATATTGTTTTGTATGCATGCCCAGATTTTCAGAGTTCACCATTTTCTGGGTATAAACTTTCACTGTGCCTGCTTTCAAAAGTGATCAGTATGATATCAGAGGACGGCATGGAGAAGTTCCCTTGCACAGCTATCGTCTCAGGAGTCGGTGAGGCTGGCTCCAGCTCTCCACTTTGGCATACCATGGACATCGTACATTCATTGATTGAGTTTCTTCACCCCATCTGTTTCCACATTGCTTGGAATACCTGGCCAACTCAGCTTGCTTTATAGGTGAGGACATTGAAATACTTAGAACAGTTGAAGAATTTTATCTGTGGTCAGTAATCAGAATGACATACATGTGGAGGGTTTCCCATTCCTAATAAAATCAGATTATAAAATTTCAGTGCAAAATAAACAAGGATCTGTACTTTAATAGTGGGATGTCATCATGTGGCAGTTCTGGGGCAGCTGAGTGAGCTTTAAGCATAAACAGTCTTGGGGTGAAATTCCTGGATGCTTGATCCTCAGAGAACCATAATTCCATGGTCATTAAAATATAGTCTGAGACCTTCTTGGCCTCAAGGTGTGATCATAAAGTTAGAGGTAGCTCTGGAGTATGAGTCATTTCCCTTCCTTACACGGAGGATTTGTCTGCATGGTGAAGTGCTTTATTTTCTTGGAGAAGTCATAAAGGGCTGGATGGAATCTAGAGAGAAATATACATCCTGTGCTCTTAGGATGCTGAAATATGGCTGGGATCTCGGGCACACAGAGAAATGAAAATATAAATATAGAAACTAGCTTTTTAAAGAATGAATTTTGGCAGAATGTAGTCCTTCCTTTAAAGCTTCTTCCACCCAACTCTCTCTCTCTCTCTCTCTCTCTCTCTCTCTCTCTCTCTCACTTTCTGTGTGTGTGTCTGTGTATGTATGTTGTGCATGAGTATATGTATGCAAGTGTGTGTGTGTGTGTGTGTGTGTGTGTATGTGTGTGTGCATACTTTTGGAGGCCAGAGTTCGAAGTTGGGTATCTCTATCACTCATTTTAGTTTTTGAAACAGTCTCTCACTGAACCTGGAACTCACCAATTCAGTAAGACTAGCTGGTTAGTGGGCGCTGCCTCTGCCTCCCCAGAGCTAGAATTACAGGGGCACGCTGTCATGCCTAACTTGTTACATATGCAGTGGGGATCTGAACTTGGGTGCTCATGTTTGTGTGGTAAGTACTTACTGACTGAGCCATCTTCCCAGTCTCTGACTACCTTTTTATCATCATGCTGAACTAGAAGTGTGTGAGTTGTGTGTGTGTGTGTGTGTGTGTGTGTGTGTGTGTGTGTTGGGGTCTACTGTAATTAGAAGAGTTTCATTCTCTTTTAGGGAAGGCATTGAATGACTGGACTGAGTAGCTTCCATGAAGGAGTACTGTGGTTTAGGAGTATTATAGGAATCATTCTCCTATATATAACAAGTGAATGGCTAGTCAGGAAGGGCTGGGTTAGTCATCTTTGTGCACAAGGCTAAAGGATAGTACACTGAAAAGTGCTGTGAGTTGTTAATAATCTGTTCCAACACCATAGAAAGCAATGTCTACGGTAATTTCTGTGTATCTCTATCCATAAGAAAATCAACTTCTCTTCTGATAATTCCTAAACCACCCCATCTCCTCATTCCAGACACACGCTTGGGTATAAAAACCCCATAAAGGTACAGTAGGTAAGTCCTCTTTTAAAAAAAACTCTGCCCATGAATTGAAAGTTTAATGAGAATTTGATTATGCATGTTATAAAAGCAAAGACTTTGTTTACAATATGATTTGTGTGCTGAAAAAGATCAGTTTTCATCTGATGACATTTCTGGAAATATTTTTGTTGTGCAAAGGAAGGTACATTGGCATTTTCAGTGAATTTAGGTTTCTAACCCCAAATCTGTAAAGTGTCTCCCAGGCCCAAGAGTAAACTTCTACAGAACACTAACACTTTTCTCTCTTTCCTTTGGGAACCCTTCCATAAATTACTCAACTTATAATAATTACTTGCTGGTCATGCTGAGTTGATTACAGGAGACAGAAAGGAATCACCATTTCTGAGGTAGAAGGGACTTTAATGTCCCTTCTTGTCATAAAGAAATCCCTGCCAACAAGAAACACAGACTGAGATGGGGGAGGGTTGGCTGGAGACAGTTGGAACTCATTAGTGTGAGAGTTGGGAAGGGACCAGCCTTCTTGCCTTCAGGCTAATGAACATTTCCTGGCACCATACTTCACCCCATTAAATGACTGACCTTGGTGACTAGCAAATTCCTCTCAGAGTGGTCCCATTGAGCCAGCTGAGGGTAATCAGTCTAAACTAACATGGCTTTGATAAGTTTTGTGTATCTTAGAGAGGTCCCTGACTAGTGACCACATGTATATTACAGACAGATGGGAGGTTAAGTGGACTTTGGCCTAGGGATACAGACCATGTACCGTGTTTTGAGTGACGTGCTTTGGAAAAGGCAGCTTAGGAGACATCATAGGCCTGGTACTTTGTTATTGTTGATGCCCTTCTGTTTTTCTCCTGGGATAGGTAGTAGTTGCGGTTAGCTTCTGGGTAGGTGACTTTGCTGAGCGGCAGCTTGTAAATGGCAGGGTTGTTGGTTGTCAGGAGAAGGAAGGTGATCGCCGAGAGGCAGAAGGGCCAGGTGCAGGGAGGTAATCCAAACTGGAGGAAGGGGGAAGGACAAGAGAAGTCTAAGTTACCTCAGATGCTGGTGATTGTTTAATTAGCCTTTATCTTATATACAGCCCCTATTAAAGGCAGGGATGTTTGGTGAGGATAACGCTTAACTGATGCTAGCCAATAAAAATGAAATCGTGCCATTAGTTTACACAGTAACAGATAATCACCAACCCTTTGAAATGCAGCTATTGGAACCTTAATAGGGGTTATATACTTTGTTTTATAAAAAATATTAAAAAAATTTTATGTGTATGAGTGTATTGCCTGCACGTACATAAGTGCACCTATGTTGTGCAATGCCCTCAGAGGTCAGAAGAGGGCTTGGATCCCCTGGAACTGGAGTTACAGACAGTTGTTGGCCACCAGTGGGTGCTGGGAATCGAACCTGGGTCTTCTGCAAGAGCAGTCAGTGCTCTTAACTGCTGAGCCACTTCTCCAGGCCTAGGGGTTAATATACTTTTATGTAGAAGACTTATTTTGTCTTTGGAAATCTGACCAGTTACACTTACAGCTCTAGGAACTATGGTCATTTCATGCCCTCTTCTATCAGCCTCTTGAAGGAATTCATTTGTCAGCTGTTTTGTAGATAAAGACCTGGTGACAGCTAATTGAACTAGAGATAGGCCCTGATTCAAAATCGGCATGTGACTTGAGCCAACTGAAGCCCTCTTTTGAGAATTTGAAGTAAAAGGTACAGAGACTGTCTCTAGGGCTCTTGATCTGAAAAGGCTAGGGAACCAAGTAGTAATAAGGTGGACATTTAGAGGCTGTGTATTTTTTACAGAGCGATTCAGAAATTGAGCAGATGTGGAGAGAGGCAGATGAGTGACAGCCTTAGAGGTGAAGAGTAGCTACTTCTTAGGGGCTCTCCCAACCCCACATCCGTTTCTCATCATTTTGATCTGGTTTTTATTTCTTGAGATGCCCTGGGGCATTTTAACACTTCTTTCTCCCCATTTTTCATCCGCGGAAACTTGAGTGAATGGTTTGCAAAGAGCCCACAAATTTAATTATGAGGCAGATCAAACTATCCCTTCAACCTCCAAGAATTTTACTATAACCAATAAAACCCCCAGCTGGTACCATGGAAACAGCACTGCTGTCCATGTGGAAGTACAAGAACAGCACCAAAATCAAGGCTGTAAGGAATATCCATGAGTGATGGAGTCTACTCAAGGGGCCTTCCCAATGCCCTGGCGTAAGGTGTTTTGGGAAGCTTCAATTGAAGTCCCACAATAGAAAGGTTGTGGGAATTCCACAGATTCAGATACAAATATCAGCTCTTATCACCTTATTAGAGTTTTTATTTTTCTGAGACGTTTTTCTTCAATAGTGCACTGCCCCTATTCAGACAGTTGGTGTTTAGTGCCTACAAAGTACTCAGTAGTGGTCCTCAGGATGTGGTCAGTATAATCAGACAACAGCATTATTGAAGACTAGGGCTGCATGTATGAGTGCTGGTTAGAAAGGCAAAGAATAAAGACTCATAGGGCTTTTCAGAGGAGGGTTTAAGTAGTTACATAAATGTAGTTCAATGCTTTTATACTGTGTTCTGTGATGAGATTGGAAATTCCTTCTGGGTAAGTTGATAGTCTCCTCTTTTTAGTATCCCTAACAGTTGTCAGCATAACAAGTAAACTTGATTTTGTTTTGAAAAATGCCCAAATGGAATGGCATAATCTGTAGCCTCTCTGTACTCAGTACTCAGAGGAAAGGGCCAGTCAGCACTGGAAATACCTAGAATTTTGAATCAAAGTTTCCTGTTTTGTGTCTCTTCTAGTGCCTTGCCCAAGAAAGGCACATGATACCTATTTATTGAATGATGGATCCGGTGAATGGTTGTTGCCAGAGCAGATGACAAAAGCCTGGGGTGGGTGAGCACCTCGGAGGTCAGAATCCATCTTCTTGTCTCCTCTCAGTGTTTCTGAGGCCCAGAGCTCAGCCCACCTCTAGTAGCCCTGCTGTGTGTCCTTCCTCCCTTGGGGCTTCATTCCTCTGTCATTTTTTTTTCTTTTTTTCTCCTCTTCCTTTCTCCTTCCTCTTCCTTTTTTTCCTTTATGGAGGAAAGATCTTGCTATGTTCAGTCCAAGCTATGCTAAAATTCTCCATGCAGGCATCCTGGACACAGAATGGCCTAGAACTTGTGATCCTCCTGCCCCAAACTCCCAAGTGCTCACCACCATGCCCAGGTCTCATTTATTAGTTCTGAGCACTCACTATAGACTGGTCACTGTAATGGGTACTGAGATTGAGATAAGAATACATACAGAAGGACCGTTCTGATTGGCTAAACTGGAAGAGGGCTGATGAGTATTAAACTTGTTGCAATACCATGTGTTAAGTGTTTTAGTGAAGGCACACACAGCATGATGGGAAACAGATGAGGGACTTAGTCCATTGGGAGAGACAGGATGGTATCAGGAAAGGCTCATTTTCCTGCTTAGGAAATAGCTTCTTATGCTAAGTCCCACCCACCTATTTTTCCTAGACGTGAAGGGGATTTGGATAGAGGTTGCATAGAATGTCTATGCCATCTCCAACTATAGAATCTACACGACTTTTTCTGCTTATGTAATCATCCTTGCAGAAATGAAGATATTCTAGAGATACTTGTGTCTTAATCTATCAGTTGACTTAAACAAGGGACCCTAAGAAATGGGAATTTCCCCAGGAAAAGTCAGAGAGGGGGGATCTTGTCTCTGGGAAAGAGATTCACAATTTGTCAGACCACCTTACAGCATGAAACTAAAGCCCAGTCAATAGGTCAGTGGTGGGCAGGACCACAGCTTGACCAGGACTGCTTACACATGTGTATCTCTAATCTTCTATTTAAACTAATCTCACTTCAGGACCCCAGAGATGGACTTGGGATCACCGATCTCTTTGTCCCTTTTCCCAATGTGGCCACATTGAGCAAATCTCTGCTTTTTACTGTTAGCTTAGTTATTTTAATCAGCTTCTCAAGGATGGGTGGCCAAACTTGACTTCTTGGGTAGGCCAAGTCAAACTTGACTTCTATAAGCTATGACCTCAAGTTCAGTAACTCTTATCCATGTGAAATTTCCCTTGAACTCTTATCTAGGGAGGAATGGGGATGGATTGACTGTAAAATGAGCCCTGAAAAATCTGTGCTGGGCCTAGTCTAGCCAAGTGACTGCTCTTAATCTGGCACACCACCCTAAACTGGGCTCCAGACAAAGAGGATGTCCTGGGACTGTGTGTACCCTTAAACTCATGAATTCATCTGTGTCTCTGGATGACTACAGCACAACTCTCTCTGTTCCCTCAAGCCATTGTCAATGACCCTCCATGAACCATGCTAGTTTCTGTGGGACAAACAAAGATGAACACTGCCCACAAGACAGGCAGATAATTTACATACACACAGACACACAGTCACACACACACACACACACACACACACACACACACACACTAATAACGCTATAGTTCTAAAGGATGATAGACTATGAAAGAGTTAAATTTGGAGGATTTACTCCAGATTGTTCTATAATGAGCTCCATTGGCCACTTGTAATGGATTTGATTGACCCATAGTTGACATATAAGCATTTGAGACTCAGCTTCTTTCTGGTAGGTGAGTAGCATGATTTGAGACAAGGGGATGAGTTGGGGAGGGTTCTGGAGGAGGGAGTTTATATAAGATTTGGGAAGTAGAGAGGGGCATGTGGCTGGTAGCCCACAAAACTTACCACAGATAACATGTTGGCCAGCGCAGCACCCAGGTAAGCCGCAAACAGTGCTAGAAAAAAATCAACCATAGATAGCCCATAAACAGTGCCTTGAGCTTTGCTGGCACATCCTTTCTTCATCCATTTCATGCCTCAAATGCTATCTCTTAGATTATTAAGCACACACACCTCAACACGGAGTTACATTTCCATCGCCTTGCAGCTTTAAAAGTTTAAAATTCCACACAAATGCCAGCACAGCTAAGATAGCAGATGAACTTTGTTAAAAAGGACCAGAATTTAGCTGTTACAGCTCTCTTGAGTCCCACCACTTTGCTTTCCAGCAAAGGAACATTTAATAGCATAAACCATAAATGAAAATTTTACTATATAGCAAAGACAAGTGAGTCCCAGAACTCCCTGTTGGAATATTTCATCACAAGATGTGAACATAACATGGGTTTCTAGGGAGAAACAGCATCCTGTAAGTTTGAGGAAGACCAAATCTGCCCACTGCCTTGTCTTCTGAACCATGCAGAGGAGGGTACGCACTAACTCCCTGCTGGGAAGAGCTAAGTGCTGGTAAGAGATAGGGGCAATAAAATAGGACAGTGGAATTGGGCTTTGTTTCTGGGCCTTTAATTTTTCTGTGGAGGATGTCTCAATTGGTCCTAGGATATTAGTAATAGCTAACCTTTATTAGAATTACTGTATGCTCAGCCTGTGGCAACACCTTCAGCATTCTATGGGGTAAGCATTATTATCGTCTTTATTTCACAAATGAGAAAACAGGCCCAGAGAGATTAAATAATAAGACCAGTCTACAAGACTATGCATTGGCAACATCCCTATTGTCTTAGAGGTAAGAATTTAAGATGGAAGAGCAGAAGAGATTAAGGAATGGGTTGTATGAAGCAGGGTAGGGGGCAAGCAACAGTTTCATGGATCCCACTTGCAGCTGATTTCTCTTGGAAGGACCCTTTGCATCAGTAGAATTCTCTTTATGCTCTTAGCTACAGATAACCAGGGCTAACCCTTCCCAGGAATTTCCTAGATGTCAAGCACTGTTCTTATTGCATTAGTCATTCATCTGACTTCATCCTGGCAACAGTTCTATAAACGGACACTGTTTACGCCAGACAAGACACGGAGAGGTAAAGTGACAGCCCAAATTATGTGGCTGACAGCAGCAGAGTCCTGACACTCCTGTTCTCAGGGTGGGCTATTAACCACTGTGTGCTGTGGCTCAGGATGTCACACTCTGAGGTTAGAAAGGGGAAAGAAGATAGAGGGCCAACCCAAGTACTCCAAAGACCCCAGAATACAGGGGAGCCATAAGGGGGCTCTAGATTTGACTTTGAAAGAGTGGAGGCTCAGAGAGTGGCCTGTCCTGAGCCCAACTCCATCCAATTCCTCATCATTCCTAGGGTGCACAACCAAAGGATTTATTCCTATGCTGCCTTGGCCCCACTGTTGTTATTATCAAATTTGTTGTTATCAAATTTGACCTGTTACCAGCAGAAGACCTCCTGAAAGCCCTATGTGTGCTTTCTACCAAGCCTTATGTCTGGTCACAGAATTGCAGAACTTGAAGGAGGAGGAAGACTGCATGGACGAGAAGAGTCAGGACATACAGCCTGCCAGGATTACTCGGGGAATAACCTGTTCTGGGGGATATGTCGAGTAGGCTCTGGAGGAAGGAACCTTCCACATCTTGGATCTAATCCTTTACTGGCAGTGTGACTATGGGAAGGGCCTAACTGCTCTGAAGCTTTTCACCAGAAGAGGGAGCAGTGGCTCCAAGAAAGGGTGGATGCCCTGCAAAGAGCACACTTACAGACCTGACTGGGTAATCTATTCTGCTCTTTTTAGCCTTAGTTCTCCATCTGTGAAATGGGGATAGCAATAGTATCCACACACTGCAGAATTGCAGTGGGATTGATGAGATGCCACATACCAGGTTTCACTGCTGTAACACCACTAACACTCTTTGCTGTGGGTCTATCCTGGGTACTCTAGGATATTTAACAGTATCCCAGACTAGATACTAAGAGCACCCCCGCCCCCTGCTTCCTCCTCCAAGGTCAAGAGGGAATTCTGTGAGTGGTACCTACCACAGGCAATGGCGAGCAGGTGGGTCTGCCAGGTAATGACGTAGAACATGCCTCCAATGGCAATGCACGCAAGAGTGCTGTTGAAGCCACACAGGCCAAAGTAGATGGAGTCGAAAGGTGTGGCAATGCTGAGCGCTGAGAGAGAAAACAAGAGTCAGTCTTGAACGTGGGGTCTTGCTAGGATCACCTGCCCTGCTGAACCATACCCCACTACTCCAGTCAGAATCAGCTTTCCTAGGTATGAAAAAGGAGTTTCAATTTTATTCAGTGAAAACCATTCAAAGGAAATAAATGTCGCAGGACCACAAGAATACTGGCGGCTAAGCTGTTACGAGTTGGAGAAATCCTTTGAGTAAGAACTCTGAAGTCTGATTTAAACAGGAGAGATGGCACAGTGGTTAAGAGCACTGGCTGCTCTTGCAGAGGACTGAGTTCAACTCCCAGCACCCACATGGCAGCTAACTACTGTCCCTGACTCCAGCTCCAGGGGATCTGATACTCTCTTCTGACCTCCACCATGACACGGGTACATTTATACTCACACAGGCAGTACACTCATACACATTAAATAAAAATAATAAATAAACAAATAAATATTTAAGCATACAGAGACTGTCCTTTCTTTGTTACACATATAAGAAATCTCCTGTGAACAAAGCTCCCTCCGGTTTGTCATTTGAGACTGCCCTTAAGCATAAACATTCCTGGAAAAAGCTCTCCCAAACTAGTATAAATATAAATACCAAGAGTTAAACTGTCTAACACCAAAATCTTTCTCGAGGACAGCTTTTGCTTAGAGGAATATGAGGGTCCTAGCAGTAAAAGTAGAAAGAGGAAGTTTCTAGGAATCAGCAGGTATAATATTAAAGACCTGCCACCATTTTCTTTGAAGCTTGCCCCCAGACACTAACATCTCTGGAGTCCGCTAAAGAGGAAAAGTGATGACACAGACCTGCTAACATCCCCATGGTGGATCCAATGGCTGCATGCAAGCAGATGAGAGGTGAAGAGATGAACAGAGCTATGAGGAAGATGCCTCCAGTCCAGGGATTATCACAGCCATATACCTGGCCGATTCCAACAGGGATGGCTCTCAGAAGCTGGAGAACAGCCGGGTACCATGCTTATTATGGAAGCAGACATGCAACTTATACCCCAGCACCAAAACCCCATACTAATGTTTTTTAGCTTAGTATGTTTTTTAAGCTGGCCTTGAACTTGTAATCCTCCTCATGCACTGGCCTCTGGAATATCTACTAACATTTTGCAACAGTATTCTGAAAAGCGACTTCTGTTAAATAGGTTGACTCTAAAAGGAGCAAAAGCTTTATCATCTCAACTTTGAGTTCTTGGAGCCATAAGTGGTTAGAATGTTGAGTTTCCTTCATTCAGAAACATCAGTTTCTGAATGGGAAATTATTCCGTTGTAAAGAAAAACTGAAAACCAGGCTGGCAAGGTGGCTCAGCAGTTAAAGAGCACTAACTGCTCTTGCAAAGGAACTAGGTTCGATTCCCAGCATCCACATGGTGGCTAACAACCATCTGTAACACCAGTTCCAGGGGATCTGATGCCCTCTTCTGACCTCTGAGGGCATTGCATGCCATAGATGCACTTACAGGCAAAATACACTCATACACATAAAATAAAAATAATAAAAAATATTAAAAAAATAAAAACTGAAAACCTTTCACAAGGGCATTTATTATTTATTAGAAAAATGAATTTGAAGGAAAAACTTTCCTTAGAAGGAAACTTTGTACTTTTAAGAACCACATATCTGGCTGTGGTGATATTAGTCCTATATGGCTAAGAAGTTGAATTTAAAGATCTGTGGAAGGGCCTGGAGAGGATGGTCTGGTCTGGTCTGGAAACTGCTCCTGTAGTTGATAAACCTCAGGGCACTCTGTCTCAGTTCTACCTCCATGGACCCCGAGGTCTAGGGGCTTGACTGTGAGTGAAAGAGCCAGGTATGGAGACAAGAGGGCACACCCAGTGGGCTAACCTTCTGGACTCAGTCTCCACACCCCAGGATAGAGAGCAGAATAGGTCTCTGGTCTGGCCTACAGGGGGAAAGGGACAGGCATGAGAGCTTATACACAGGCAATGGCACAGGGCTATTTCATTTCCATCCATGTGTTCCCCCTGGGAGCCTCTGCAGTGGTCACTCAACATTATTGGGAGTTCTAGACCCTCTTTCTGACATCCACCACCTGTTTTCCTGAAATTCAAAGTACAATCCATTATAATTGGAAGACCCAACACATGAACTATTACCATAGTCCGATCTATTGGCTAGAAAGTTATTTCTTAGAGAATGGCCACCAAAACTTTATTTTTTAAATCTTTGGGGTTCTAAAATATTTGTACAGAAATGAAACAATCTTTTCCATTTCTATAAAATTTTGAAATATTTATTTAATTGAAAATGAGATGAACTTTAAGCTTGCAATTTCTAGCATCATCTCTTCATAGCATACCAATTAGAGCAATTTGTCTCTGTAAGATATCCACCAGTGGGAAACCTGAGGAATGAATCACCAACTCAGCTCCTTTTCTCGTCTCTGTCCCACAGTGTCCTCACATACATTCAGCAATGATCAAGGATGAGGCTGATGCAAATGTTCCCTTTTCTGAATAATGACACTTAATGTGATTGCAGAGCTCTTTCAACTATGCTCTGGAATGCTAAGAGACACAGGCATCATTATTTCTGAAAGTTCCTTCAATGAGCCCAAGTGGCTCTGTAGTGATGAATTGCCAATAATGAAGTTCCAGGCTGAAGCTCCAGACTGGGGCAGGGGGTTCCTTTTAGTGTAATGGAAAGTAGGAAGCTTTAGGAAAAAAATGTGCCTTTGAGAAGAAGGCTAATGGCCACATTTTTCCATGCCAATTTAATACTTCAAGTATTGCTTCTTATTCATTATCTTGGCAGAATTCCAGAGGTCAGGATTATATACAGAACTCTCAAAAAGTTTAAAATGTCTGTTATCTATGTTTCTTAACGGAGGAAAACCTGTGCTTCAAAACAAGAGCAAGCCTCAGAGAATGGAATAAGCTTGGGAGCTTGCAACAGTGACATCGTAAGCCAGTGGGCAGCAGTGTGATGCACCTGCTTTGATTCACTGTGGTTGAATGAAAGAAAGGACATGGCATAAGTAGACTCAAATTGGACTTGAGCATCGAAAGGGCCTTCAAACAAAGGGAAGAAGCAAAGAACCCAGGCCATATATCAGGGAGTCAGAGATCCAGGCTTTTACTAATTCAGCATGGGACCTCGGGTCGCTTTACTTGGCCTTAGTTTCTTCCTCTGTGTGACATAACAGGGTGGAACCAGAATAGAATTTTTAGCTCTTAAAAGGAGACAAGGGTAATAGTTCATGGAATATGAATGTAGCATGCCTGTACTGTAGAACTGTGAACAGTTATTCATGGGCGTTTCTGATACGCAAAACGAGTAAATGAAGTTTAATACTGAATTTGTATGAGTACTGCCCTTCCTTTTATTGTGACACCTACCAGGGGTACTTGGACATCCGACCAGGTGATATTGGGTGTGGAGGCTGCAGGCTGCAGCAGTGTCGTGGGAAAGAAGAGATTGTAGTGGCCCGTGGCTGCCAGATACAGGGTCACAGCGATGTTGAAGGGCAGTGTGAATACTGGGAGGTCCCACTTGCTGAAGATGGTGCTCAGGGCACTGGAGAGGATGGGGCTGGTGGGAACAGCACAAGAGAGCCTGGTCAGAGGCTGCTTGGCTTGACACTAGACCATGCAGCAGAGGTGTTGTGAGGGGGGGCACTGACTTTCCCAGAGGAAGCAAGCTTGCTGGCCACCTTTCCTTTGGTCTCCTTTTTGAGCAGGGCACAGAAACAGGGCAAGATACCCACAATCAACTTCAGAAGGAGAGCTTTATGAGAGCTGTGGGACTTCTTCAAAGAGTCATAGAACTCTATCCCTTAGGCAGGAGGAGTGAGGAGAGATTGGGGGAAGAAAGGGGAGGGAACTATAGTCATTCATTAATGTTTTTTGAGTGGCTAAGTATACTGACTTTATGGCCTGACTAGCTTTCATTTTCTGGAAGTGAGGGAGAAATCTGGTACTTTGAGGGCTCTTCTCCATGACTGACCTTCAGCCTACCCCAAGAGGTTATCCCAATCTGGTTATGGGTCTCAGGGAAGAGCAGGAGGGATGAGATTTTTAGACCTTGAAAGGGCTTTGTGCAGCTCTTAACCTATGTGATCAGCAGTTTCTTGCTCTGTACTTTAGCAGGTTAAGGTCAGAGATGCTTTGAGATCTTAAAGAAGAAAGGACAGTAACTAATGAGACACTACAATGATGACCTGGCATGGTGCTGTCTCAGTATGTTAGTAACTGTTCCCAGTGGGTTTTCCTGAGGTCTAAGCCGAACATGTGCTACTTTAAAATGGAAGTCAGACATGGGGCTGGAGAGATGACTCAGTGGTTAAAAGCCCTTGCTGCTCTTGCAGGGGACCTGGGTTTGGTTCCCAGCACCTACATGGCAGCTAACAATGGTCTTTAACTCCAGTTTCAGGGGAATCTTCTGGCCTATGTGGGCATTGCACACATGAGTGCACTCACATACATTTAGGTAAAACACTCATGTGTATAACACACACACACACACACACACACACACACACATACACGCAGGATGTTAATACGAGTCTATACCCCAGAAACAAACTTACCAAGACATGGACATAATGGTGACAGGGAGAAGCAGCCACCAGTAATAGTTGCCCTTGTCTGAGAATACGGCCATCAGCAGCCCCACCAGCACCCCATTGTAGCCATGGAGTCCTGCTGCAATGGCTGACCTGGGGGGACAAAGATGGGGCTGGTAGAGTGGGAATGGAGCCTCCCTATGGGCTTCAGTTTTTTTTTTCATAGTCATATTTTTCTAAATTGGGGCCTGACCTCTCATCTTCAAACAGACCACCCTTCTGGGATTAGGGAGGGAAGACAGCCCTATCTTCCCTTCACAAATTCAGAGAATAGTGGCATTTAGTTACCAACACCATTGTTTTGAGGAACTTCTGGGATAGAAGGTAGAGAGGAGGCAGGATCCTCCCAGATGTGGCCTTCTGGCCTTATGTTTGGATCCTGGACCCCAGAGACTTACTTGTCCTGACTCAGGACGAGGGCAGTCAAGGTGGACACAATGGTGCCCAGGCAGCCAGAGATGGCCCACCAAGGATTCTGCACAAAGAGGCCAAGGATGATGAGGATGCCACTGAGGGGGTTGTTCACAAACATCACCTGAGACATGCCCCGGAGCATCCAGTCAAGAAACTGGAACACTGGGGATTTATCTGAAATGGAACAGGTAGAAAGTCAGATGCTGTGTAGGTCAGCCCCACTGGGCTAGGCCTGGTGGCAGTTGGAGTGAGGGATCTTAGGGGACCAACTACCTATTATCACCAGCCACAGAGGAGGGAAACAACCCAGGAATGCATTTAAATGCCCAGACCCCTTGCCAGCCAGGTGCAGCCTCTAATAGACTCTAGGCTTTTTTTTTTTTTTTTTTTTTTTTTTTTTCCCTACAGTGGTGATCAGGTACCTAATTTGACCTATTTGTACCTCCCAGGAGAGTGGCATAAAATTTCTGGAAAATTCTCCTGCTGCATAGAGGATATAAAACCCATGAGCCAAGCTCTGGGGAGATTGCTAGAGAGAACCCACTGGCCCAGTAGGCACAGTTCCTTCAAGGCATCCTGTGGGCATTTGTCTAGATAGAATGCTGGCTTTAGAATCCCGTGCTTGTCTACAACATTTAGATGGTCCATTTAGGTCAGCAGAACTTTTCTTTTGAGCAACAGGAACTCATATATTTACACATCCTTACAATATAGTTACAGATAATTGGTATTTATATCATAAGAAGCTGTTGGCTTTAATGTCCAAACTCCTTGCATCTATGAAAGACTCTGACGATGCATTTCCTGGAGGTGACTGAGGCAATCATTTCTGGGGTGGTCGCTGTTACAGGACTGTACCTTTAAGCCCCTCTCCACATTCCTTCATCTCTCCTGTGATGTAGCTGAGGGCTTTGCTGACTCTCTTTCCCCCGGCAGCCATGGAACTTTGAATCCAGGAAGCCTTGGACATGTTGGTTTCTACCTTTATCTCAGAGCTCTCCTCCATGGTGTCTAGATCCTGTCCAGGGGCAAGAAATGGGAAAGAATCTTCCATATTTCCACTTGGTGGTTTTCATACCAAGTGATATTTATAGTCCTTTGGGGACCAAGGTTAGATTTTCATTTGAGATTTTATTAAACTGCTGCTATTTAATCATCTCCCTGTTTGGATGGATTATTTTTATTTTGTTTGTCATGTCACCATATTTGATATGGTCAACCACCATGAGGCCGAACAAGATGATATCTCCACTTTCATTCTGTGGATAAAGACTCAGGTGTGTAGAAGTTCTTGTTTGCAAATGTTAAGGTCAAACGGTGGAATTTAAGGTTTAGCCACAGATGTCTAGATTGTCTTAAAAATCACCACCTTATATTCTCTCTGAAAGAAATTATTTTCCCCAAGCACACCTAATCTTTGAATTTTAACTGTCCATAAACACGGAGGTATGAAGTTAAACAGGAAAATTCTTTTAAAAAACCACTGGCATGGGCTTATTTCTTAAATGTAAACTGATAATAAATAATTCAAATGTAAGAGACATGAACGCTAACAAAATAAACTAGATGTATAAAACAGACATTTTTATCCAAGTAATTACATTTCTGAAAACATGAACTCAAGTGAAGTTTTCCTAAATCAGAGCCTCCTGACAGATCTCACTTCCAGCCTGCTGTGGGCTCTGGACCACAGGGTGCTGTCCCTGAATCAGGGTCTCCACACTCACAAGCAGTTCCACTGTGGGCTTCCGGTACGGGTGGGGAAGTGGCTCTTTGGTTTGTCTCTCCTGGGGTTCACCTTTTCCAAACACTGGAGTTGGAAGGAAAGAAAGCCATCAGTTCAGTCACCTGTACTTTGGTACTTTGGCAATAATTTCTTTTAAGGCTTGGGTTAGACCATTTAGTAATTCCAATTTCACAGAGGAAGCACAAAACCATGGAATCTTCTGAATAAAAGATCTTATTTTCTGTTACTGGTCAGGCCCATTTGGGGGTCCTCCTTTTTGGGAAAAATGTACATCGTGTAAACAGGATATAAAGGAATAGAGGAAGCTCAGAGACTCCAGCGGCCCTTATGATATGCTTTGATTTCATTAACCTCTATATTTTTTAGATGAGGAAATAGAAGCCCAAAGAGACAGTGACTTGTCTGTGACCCCCAAATCCAGGGCTCTTTCTTCTGTATCACACAGAGACTTGCAGGTGAGCAAAGAGCTGGGTGTTCAGTGGACGGTGGGTAACATAGAAACTCACAACTGGTCAATGTGCAGAGGATAAGTGTCAGTGAAGTGCTCAGTCACAAATGGGGCATCTATACCATGTGCCACTCTTCCAAGGCTCAGGGAAGGGGCAGAAAGATTGTAAGAGTCAGAGGTTGGGGAGAACTGGATCAAAACAGTATATACGACCTGTATAAGGTTAAACCAGTCAACATTCTAGCATGGAGGAGGAAGGGGATCACAAGCCCCTACCCCTAGCTGAGGAGCTCTGGACAGTTGATGACTTCTGGGGGAAGAGAGTGAGTTTTCTTTAGAGGTATGGCCCCTTTGAGGTGGACCATGATCTAGTGGATGGTCCTACATTAATGAAGGTGGACCATGATCTAGTGGATGGTCCTACATTAATGAAGGTGGGCCATGATCTAGTGGATGGCCCTACACTCATGAGTACTATATGCACAGCACAAATTGGACTTGAGTTATTAAAGAAAAAAAGGACATGAAGTTGGGGGAAGAGGTAGGGAGGTGGGGTGGGTCTAGAAGGAGATAGAGGGAGGAGTGGGAGCATTTAATATACTGTATTAAATTATCAGTTAACAAAAACATTTACAAAAGAGAAAGGAACTAGAATGTTGAAGTCTTTTGCTTGCTCCTCACACAGTCATAGGCTGCCTGAAACACGCAGGATCTGGGTTTGAATTTGGCAGTGATTCTCCTGCGGCAGATGATCTCAAAATGACTTGTTCCCCCCTCCTCTCCCTTCTCTTCCTTCTTTTCTCCCCTCCTCTCTCCCTCCCTCTTTTGATTACAATATTTATTTTTATCCTTATGGTGGTCACCCCTGTGGCATAGCCACTGTTAAGTTGCCCTTGCTCCAGTAAATAACCTCCCACCCTCGCTTGGGCAAGGAACTCCAATGAGACCCAGTGGGTCACATAGAAAAGAAGACATCAATGTAGGAGTAGGACTTGCTGAGAAGAGAAGTTCTAGTGGGAGAGGGGGGAGATGGAAAAGGGGGTAAAAATTTTGTCTTTGAATTTTTGCATTTTAATGATTGGGACAGGATAAATGACACCTATGTAGTCACTTGAGCCAGATTTTAGGATGTCTTTATAATTCTAGACAACTCTTGTAACATGACTCTGAACATCCTTCATGATTACAGATGACTCACTTTTAAAGATGATTTTAAAACTGAAGGGTTTGAAGCATTGGGAGCAATCAGGCCCTTGATGTTTTGGACTTGGTACTCTGGTTCCCTCCTGTGGTCAAGTGTCAGAACGGCAGGCTGGGCTTTGCCACCCTACTTTCAGTCTGCTGTTCCCAGTGTGCAGTCATGTGTGTTCAGGGTACCTAAGCACTAGTCCGGATGCATCAAAGGCACAGTGTTCCCACTTTTGAAAGAGAAGGGGCTATAAACACCAGTGTGATTGGGAAGTTCCACCACGTAGACGGAACAGATTAATTTTAGAGGCTTTGGAAAGAGAGGTAGGAAACAGAGAGGATGCTTTTGAACTTGTGTGTGTGTGTGTGTCAGAGAGAGAGAGAGAGAGAGAGAGAGAGAGAGACTCCTTTATGATCTGTTGCTTCTGTCTGGATAGCCTGCCAGACTCAAGTGATTCCAATGGACTTCCCCCTTGCCCCCAGGATTTTTTTGCATAGGGCTTCCCTCCTGTGTGCCCCCTTGACAGAGGGGTCCTTGAGTACCTGCAATGCCCTTTCTACCTTGCATATTTCCCCATAAGCACTCTAAGCTCCTTGTCTTACTTTTGTAAGGATGAGATTGGAGAAAGACAGCTCACTAAGGCAACTTGTAGGAGGCATGTGATGTGAGAGGCACTAACCCAGGGGTCAGTTCTACCCCTTGCAGTGCCTCTGGTCAGTTATGCAACCCAGAAATTCTGCTCTTCTCTTTGGGGATTGTGGTGGAATTAGAGTGCCCCTGTCCTGTCTCTTCTAGAGGGTTCTCCATCCTGCAGCTGACTGGAACTATCTCTCCAGACTCCTCCCTGTAGGCCAGAATCTTGCTTTAGCTTCCAAGTTTGAGTTTCTGGCCTCCTCAACTGCTCAGCTCTGGCTGCCTTCTGGGATCCCTTCTTGACCTTTGAAGGATCTTCTATTACCTTTCCTCTCTACCTTGGTCTTGACATCCTCACTGTTAACACAGCGAGGACTTTTCATTTCCATCTTTCCGAACAAGTGGCTCCTTTTTGTTTGTTTTGACAAGGTCTTCCAGTATAGCCCATCTGGCTTTCCTCCTGCCTCAGCCTCCTGGGTGCTGGGATTATAGGCAGGGCCACTGTGCATGGCATGGGAAGCATCTTATGACTTGGCAAATTAGAATTTCACGAAGAGCTCTAGAAGATCCTTATGCTGGCACAAGATGTACTTGGGAGTCTTTGGGAACGGATTGCAGGTAATTTCCTCACCCAAGTTGAGATCCCTTGCCTAGTCCTATAGAAACCATCTATCTCAGATTATCTCTCTACCAGGCTGGATATGTCCAGACACAGAAAACCCGTGGCTTTGGCCAGTGAGCATGTGTGGAAGAACCACCCTGTGCAGTGAGTACTGCCACTTTCTGCTTTATTAGAGATAGGAAGCTGAGGCCTGAGTGTGAGAGGGAGAATGCACACACCTTTGCTCCTCCTCCGGATAGATGACCACTCGATGTGGAACACGCTTCTATGTCTGGAAAGCACAGTCTCAGAGCCCTCCTCTGACTTCCGGCCTGTTCCTTGTGGCTGCTCTCCACTGTCACCTAACCAGGGGCAATAAAGAACAAGTCAGTGTACCACCTGGTCCCCTCCCTAAGAGCCAAGTAGTGGAGCCCAGAAGAATCACACCCAGAAGCTAGAAAGGAGTGAGTTGTACAGCTTGATGCTAGAGGAGTCTAGACTTTGTGAAAATGCCTAGTACCCTAGTATCTGTTCTTCCCATTACAACTTCTGCTTTCTCTCCCCACAGAAACCTATCTGGGTCAAGAGATTCAGATGAGGCAGGCTTAGACCCAGGATGACTGGCTAGTCACTATGCTTCACACAATGATTTGGACCCCTCTGTCACAGGAGTTTAAAAGCTGACTGCAAAGTAGATCACCTGGCTGCTTTAAAAACTGCCTGAGTCCTATCCCAGTCCAGTTAAAAAGATAAAAGACAGCTTTAACATGCAAGTTGGACTGAGAACTATTGATATAGATTATTGCTACTCAGTCGGGTCCCTGGCCCAGCATTAATCAACTGAGAGCTTGTTAGAAATGCATAATTTCAGACCTTGGCCCAGACGGATGGGATCAGAATCTGTGTCTCCACAAGATCTTCTGAATATATATTCAGAAGATCTTGTGGAAAAAATATATCCAGAAGATCTTATGGAAAAAATATATTTCAGAAGTATATATATATACTCATATATATACATATATATGTGTGTGTGTGTATATATATGAAAACACTAATATAGGAGAAGCCAAATGTCTGAATATATTACTGGTTACAAGAAACCCTTTTCTATATTACTGTCTTCAATTGCCACATTATGGGGCGAATACTCTTGCCACTAGGAATCGTTTCTCAAGGTGTGGTTTAAGAACAGGCAGGACTGAATCACCTGGGTAGCCTGTGAAAGCGCAGGCTCTTACGGTCACTGAAGTCTGTTAATTTGAGTCTTTGATAATCCCTAGGGCACGCTGCCAGAGTCAGGACGGTCCAGTGGCTGCTTGGAATAGTGGAAAACATCCACACTATGACATCCGCATACTTCAACGTCTTCAAAACTAACTTGAAATGGCTAGGGTGGGTATTGTTATCACCAAAAGATGGAAAACTGAGTCTTAGAATGATTGTCAGAGCATCTTACATACAATAAACCATGGGACTTTCAGTTTCCGGTCCTTTTCTATGCACCTTTACTAATTACGGTCTGGTTTGTGGATGAGCTTCATGGATGCCACAAGGAGCTTGCTAGGAACATAGAATCTCAAGTGTCATCCCAGAATTACTGAATTAAAATGTTCTTTTCAACAAGTTCCTCTGCTAATACATGTACTCATTAAAGTTGAAAACACTGATGTCTAGCAAGCACCCTGCTGCTCACATAGAGACAATGTTAAGAAAGCTTAGAATGTAGCAGGAGCAACAATCTATGGAGTCTATATGAGCAATGAAAGAAGGTCTTGCCTACATCTTTGCAACAAAAAGTAACGTACAACCACGGCTCCCTCTAGCTCAGACGGAAAAGCTGTTAGTGACTTAGTATCTTGTCTGTGGGTCAGCATTGAGCTCTAACTCCTAAGGTTAGGAAGGGCCTGCCAACTCTGCCCTAAACCGCCATGAAGACAGAGTTCATGCAGTATGAGAATGGAGGAATGTGTGTTCCTTCACCTTCATCACTGGATAAAGAAGGGTGTTCTCCTATAGTACCAACTCCTAGTGCACATTTATCTGGCCAGAAGGATGCCTCTCTTACTATTGTTTTTATCTCTCATATGCCAAGTGTTGCTGACCACTAAAGCCCCGCTTTATGTTAGCATCATAAACACAGAACTGAATAGAGAGCATGAAGACCATGCTCACCTCCCTTGTCTAGAGAGAACAACATGCCAAGATATCCAGTCACAGAAAAGCTAGAACTGTCAGACCTCCTGACTCCCAATTCACTCTTCTTTCTACCCCATTGCTGGGCTGTTTGCATAGCACAGACCTGTTTTGTGCAAGGAAAGGGCTTTACTTTTAGCCTAGGACGGTTGCCCTGGATATCAGATTTCATGACACATGCCATTCAGTAACCTGTGTTTTTTTTTTTTCTTTTTGTATTTAGGAAGAGTGCATTTGTTTAATAAACCAAAGCAACATTTATCTGGCACCATGCAATATGAAAAGGAAAGTTGGTTGTTAAGATACTTAAATTTTTTGGCTGAGGAGCTTAGCCAGAGGAACAGAGGTTGATGCTGATGGAGGCTCTTGGGTGGGTAATCAAGGGATTATGAAGGCAGAAAATGAAACTGAGCTCTTCTATCAGGCAGAGCTTAAAGTGACCCAGTCCCCACACCGGGTTATTTGTGTTTAGTAATCCAGATCCAGCACTTAGGCCAGGAAAGTGAGTCAGGGCCATGTAGTACTATATGTCCCTAGAGTTGATGACCCAATAACAAAAAAGCAAAAAGTATCTTTCTCACATGGGCAGTACTGAAGTGCTGGGCTACTGACTACTCTGTAGACCACAGCCCTCAAGCTGTATAGGCCAAGAGTTGAGGATGAGAGGTGGGAAAAGATGCCACAAAGAAGACTGAAGACGGAATAACCAACTTCCCAAGGATTGAAAACACTTAGAGCGAAGGTAATAGCAACTTTATACTGGCCCTGGGAAAAATTTTCAGGTGTTTCAGAATGGATAAAGACTATTAAGAACAGTTGAATCTACTGTTTTAGTTTCGAGCTACTGGTGTAGTGGGGAAGAAAGGAAAAAGAAACACTGACTGGGAACCAGAACGCACTAGTTTTTGCTTGGCATTCTGCAAATTGTGTAATATTGACAGTTTCCTTAATCACAGTCATGCGATTCTCCCAGAAAGAAATCCTCTGCATCAACTCTAACCTAGCCTTGAGTTAATCATGTGTTCTTGACTTTCACCTTCATAGGATGGTGAGATACTTGGTAGTCAGGAGTTTTCTACTTTCTCTCAGCACCTCTAGCATCTCTCATACATATACGGTGGGTACTCAGACTGTTTGTTGAATAAAATAATGGGCGATGGTTATCCTATGAGTTTTAAATTTCTGAATGATTTAACAAAGAACCACTGATTATTGTAGGGTATGGAGTATTTTTGTGTGTATGTGTGCATTCATGTGTATGTGCAAGTGGGTACGTGTGAGTGCATGTACATGTGTACACGTGTGTAGCGGCCAGAGGTTGACACTGGGTGTCTTCCTTGCCACTCTCCATCACAATTTTTGAGACAAAAATGTTCAGGTCTTTCACTGAACCTGGAACTTGTCAACTTAGCTAGACTGGCTGGCCAGCAAGCCCCAGAGATCCTCCTGTGTCCACCCCTGACCCCTGCCAGAGCTAGGACTGCAGGAGTGTACCACCACATTTCACTTTTTTACCTAAGTGCTGAGGATCGAGCTCAGGTCATCAGGCATGCATGGCAAGCATTTTACTGACTGAATCATCTCCCCAACCCCAGAAATAATTTATTTGTTCTTTTACTTTGCTTTTTATTTGTTTGTTTCTTTTTTGAGATGGAGTCTCACTATATGACTGTCCTAGAACTCACAGCAACCCCCTGCTTCTGTCTCTCAAGTGCTGGGATTAGAGGCATCTGCCACCATGTCTGGTACCAGAGATAATTTTAAAAATAATGTATCATATGGTAAATATTAAATGCTTTATAAATATTGAGCTAGAAGTGAGTGATTTAAATAGACTAACAAAAGCTAGAGCTGAACTTTGTGAGGTTTGAATATGGCAGGGTGATCATTTCTAGCATTACCTGGATCAAAGAGTATAAGTTTCCAGATGGTGATAACATGGCTGGGCATCTATGAGTGATCCACTAGAAACCCAGAAGACCTACAGAAGTGGCTGGAAGAACTCAGTTAATAAGAGAAAGAAAATAGGACAGATGGAGATCCGACTTGATATGATTTGATCAGTAGACATTACCTAGATTTGTTCTTTCTGCTTAGGAAGCCCTTGACTGCATGGAGATGAGACTGGGTTTATAAGTTTTATTCATAGTAATCACTCAATAAGCACTTTCATCGCTGTCCCTCAACATCAGGCACACATAAAAGAGGTACTCATGAGCCATGGTGTAGTAAACAGAGGCTGGGCTTACGAGCTCTGGCTACCATTGGCCCTGCATGACTGCTTGGAAGGCCCAGGACTTTGCTCCATCAGTAGAGCTATAGGAAAGTCTTTCCTCAGTAAACTGTGTGTCATGGTCAGCAGTTGAGGAGCTCTTGATATGCCACAGGGGTTTGGAACTCCTGCTCTTGCCTTATCTGACAAGCTTTATTAAATATCCCAGTACACGCGACTTCATTCAGGGGGCTGTTTAGGACCATTTTAGGGGCATGGATCCTAACATCAAGGACTGCTATCATCTCATGCTTTAGAAAGCAAAACTCTGATGCTTTCTTCCCATTGGCTTAGAAGAAAAATTTGAGTTCTAACTATTTATTCTGAAACACTCTTTCTGAGGCAGTAGTGATCTCAGAGTTCTCATGCCTCTAATGACTTCTAATACAGGGTAACGCTAACCATTCAAATGATCAGTGGTAGAAAAGGTTTTGTAGACGAACTTACTTGTTACACAAAAACTTATACGTTATTGCACCTTCTTTGAGGGAGCAAGGCAAACTCAAACTAAATTTGACGTCTTTCAGAAGGGAAAAGTGATCTAGTCTCTCCTTCTGAAAATCAACTCACAAAGGCCCATGCCAGTATACCTCCACAAGCTGTCTTCCTTTGAACACATTTTACTTTCTCCTGGAAACGGATTGATGTTGTCTATACATCACTCACAATGTATCGCATTTAGAGTCCACCATCAAGAACCATTGGTCATCCTCCCAAGCTCCTCTTATTCTCCCCTGACCTGCTGTTTGTGAATATGCTCATAGACTATAGGCAATTCCCTAGACACAGTGCCAGAATGACTGTTTTTGAGTGCCATATCATACATAATTTGGGTTTTTCTACAACCAATTATACATGATTATGCTTGCCGCAATTGGACAGACATTTCCCCAT